TACATCGAGTATAGGTGAGATGTAATAATAATAATAATATAATATAATATAATATAATTCGATTATTTATTCGATTAAAAAAAATTAAGAGACCCCTAAAAATCTGACCTTACACCCTGCATATTTCTATTATTGGTAATTTAGTTGATCACTTCTCAAATCAGTTTTTTTTTAACGACTTACTTAATTCGTTTCCGCCAATATCATCATCACTATCACTTTCTTATTATCGCGAAAGGATAACGGCTTATGCGTGCCGGGAATATTGTAATAATTTATGAAATCCTGAAAAAAAAATGTTCGCACGAAACATTCTAATTGATTAATTATACGGACTTATTAGTACCCAGTCATTAACTCGGCCGTAGTTGCGTTTACCGTCACGGAAAAAAATGTAAACAGAATATGGATTTCGAAGCAAAAACGCTTAAAATGGTTGCAGTATAACGACTTTTGCCACTCGGCCGGACGTAATTGCCGATGAGACCGACAAAAACCGAAACGGTGTGGGAGAAACGTGTCCCATTTTTAAGGATAATTAAACAAATACCCCCATAGTAAAAAAGGAACTTGTAATTTTTTTATTAAAAGTTAGTGCAAGTCAAATGAGACATCAAATTATCCGAAAAATAGATACTTTCATTCATGTTTTTTTTTAATTCGACAAAATTACTTGGAGTATTTAAAAATTGCTGTGAAAGTTTAAGACCTAGAATAAAAACGCCGACAGAGACACCCATTTCGCCTGGCGACGACTCGAATCCGACTTTCTCCCCTTCCCCGCTCGAAATTCAATTATTTTCGCGATATGAGCACTTTATTTGTTTTAATTAATTTCCTTCATCGAAGGAAACCCACTGCCGTGACAATTAGGCGAGGAGTGGATGCAGGTAGCCCACAAATTGGCTGTGTACGGGCGTCTTTAGTCACACCCGGTAACCCGCAGATCCCCATCCTATCATTTAAACTAGTAGGCCGTGACGGTGGGCTCCGGCGGACAAATGACAGTCGCTAGGACGTTTCGTACAGTTCGTTTCGGACGTTTAAGGATCGCGAATGTAATTAATAGTATTCGATCGCAGAAGGCAATATTATAAAATCTATGAAGAGACTATAAGTCTTTATTAAAAGAGACTGCAATTTTTTTTCAAAACTTCAGTCAAATCCTTGTAGTAATTTATGGAAGTGTGTGTGTTGTCTTGTTTTTAAAAAGGGGAACAAACCTGGCGTTGAAAATTGCAGACTTATTGCTGCTTTGTATAATTTTCCTGAATTATTTGAAATTATTATTCAGAAACATATTTATTTTTACACAAAAAGCTTAGTATGGTATTAGTAAATCGCTTTTACACTTGTTCAAATTGTGTATTTCCCATCGCGTTCAATTTGTACAGTTTTGTATTACAAATACAGGGTGGTCTAGTTTTGGATGCGGAAACTTCAGGGACCGATAGAGATTCAAAAAATAATATGGGTATACAGGGTGGGCCATTAGTGTGAGAAAGTAAAATAACTCCCTTGTTACTCATAAAACAGAAAAAAAGTTTATATAAAAGTTGTACAGTACTATCAAGAAACCTAAACTACAAAATTAATTTGAAACATACAGGGCAATGAGTAAAAACGGAATACGCCAAATTTTACATTTTTTAAATGGAACACCCTGAATATTTTAAAAATATGGATTTCCGAGAAAATTCTATATATGGCAATATAAACAGTTTATCATATTAGTACGGGGTTGCCAAGTTATGTAGAAAGTTCTTTGAATTTTGGAAAAAACATGACCTCGAAGAAGTTGTATTAACTTTCAGCTACTAAAACTTGGAACAAAATAATTAGACAGAATTATAGGCAAATGTTAGGCAAAGGCTGTCATATTAGCTAATATCGATATTTTATACAGGGCATTTTTTATAATACTATCATTTTTAGAAAGTTTAAACTTGATTTTCTAAATTTTTTCAAATGAAACACCCTATATTTTATTATTCTATTTTATTCATATATTGGTCCACTTCAACTTTTAGTAAGCATGTTCTATATCTAAAATTGTTAATTTTTAAGATATTGCAACATTTCTGAAAAAACTTTAAAAATTTTTTTTTATTTTACAGAATACCTACCACAACTAAATATTAACTAATAAAATTAACTCAAAATGGAA